TTGAATCACGGAACACTGTTAAATTAGTTACTTTGAAATTCTTGCCAACATCTGGATCATCTCAACATCACACACTATTGCTCATCTTTACTCTAGAGAATGGGTCACAATTTTTTGTTTGTTTTTGTATTTTAGTGTGTTACTTAATTTTAGATTGTGTACTGGACATTGTGAGTATTGCAATGTGCAGATATTTGAATAAGTCCTATTCACCCAAAGAACATTGTTTGTTTTAACAAACAGTAAAATTGATTGGACTTTAAAACAAAAAATTTCTCTGAGATGTCAATTAAATCTGTTTAATTCTTTTATCTTTGATTGGAATATGTACATGTGTGGTTCAGGATCATCCTAAGACTGAACAATTTATATGCAAAATTTTGAGGTTAACTTCATTAACTTTTTCTTTTCTGCAATTCTCTGATTTTCCTCCACTTTTCCACAAGTTGATTGTCCTGAATGCTGTCACTAGTGTAGTCACTCATAAAAACTCCAAGCTTTCTATTAGAGTTTTAGCAGGTCTGCGTGAGGTCTGCTCTCAGGCTCAAAGCTTTAATAGGGGAAACACTCAATATTTTCCTCTTTGAAGTGTAGTATTGTCTTTAGGATCTTACATCTTTTCAATCTTCAATGTTTTCAGGTTTTTTTAAAATATGTCAATATTTATTATTAATATGTGTGGAATAGTTGGTCCACTGTGAGCTTTGTAGACCACTCCAGAAACAGAGCTCACCTAGTAGACTGCTGAAATTGTGAGATGAATGTTTGTCTTAGTGTAGGAGCATGAAACCCAGTAAGAAGTACACAAATATAAGAGATAAAATGTACAGAATTTTTCATGACATCTAGGTGTGAGAAACAAAGACAAGAAAAAAGTCAAGATATTAAGGCTGAGTTGCTATTAGTTAAAAAATAAATAAAACCAAGGAAATTGAAGTGTAGTGTAGGTCAGCTCAGGCCGCCATAGCACAATACCATAAACTGGGTGACTTACGAATAGAAATTTATGTGTCAGAGTTCTGAAGGCTGTAAGTCTGAGGTTAAAGTGCTGACCAGTTCAGTTTGGGATAAGGATCCTCTTCCTGGCTTGCAGACAGCCACCTTCCCTCTGTGTCCTCACGTGGCATTGAGAGAAAAATTTTTCTGGTGTGTCTTCTTATAAAGATAGTAACCATCATTTAACCTTCATGACTTCATTTAACCCCTTTTCCATGAAGGTCTATCTAAAAATACAGTCACATCAAGGATTACAGCTGCAATATAGAATTTGGAAAGGAGGAGGACACAACTTAGTTCATGACAAAGGAGAATCTTGCTCAAAGCAAAAAAAGATCATGGATTATTTTGGATATTTACATATGAGAGGAACAAGTTACAAGTTGTTAGAGATTTGCAGTGGAACATGGAAAGAAGAATATTGGGGACCGATTTATAATCCACCAATGAAGAAGAGTCAGAGCTGATGCTGTGGCACTGGATGACTTCTCTGAGGGAGAAAGCATAGTTCAATACAGAGGATTAAGGAACAAGGACAAAAACCACCTGTAAACTCCCGGAGAATGTGAAGGAGGAATAAATTAGCAAATGAAGAAGTTGTCAGAAAGATAGGAAGAGAAACAGGAAAGTAAAATAGTGTCAAGGGAGAAAAAAAGAGTTGTGAGAAAGAGAGGGTTCTGAGGAAATGGTCAACAGGGATAAGCCCAATAAGAAAGGTCTTGAAGAGGGCCACAGTCAAAGTCCCTACGTTTGTAAACTAGGAAATCATTATTGACTTTTGAGGATGCAATCTCATTAAAGTGATTTCGAAGAGACTGAGATAAGAGCTTAAGTCAGAGCAGGATGGGGCTGATATGAGGGACATATTTAGGGTTTAAATAGGGAGTTGGATTACTGGGATAGTGAATGCAGTTAAGAAACCCTAAAATGTCCAAAACTGCCAGAGAAAATAAAGCCTGCTGGGTAACCTATGCCTTCCAGCTTACCTCATTCATTCCTGCAGCAAAAATCATTACATATCACTTTATTAAGCAATGTTGCATGCACAATGTAAAAATATAGCTCTTCTCTCAAGTAACATCTGAGTCTCTTCTGCTCCCTGCCATCACTCAACTTGTGTTCTTCTGTGCATTCATATTTTTCCTGAGTGAGTTGGCACTCAACTAGACCTGCTTCTTAACAGGACCATGTTCCTTATCCTTTGAGAACCCCCACTGGATCATACTGTTTGCTCTTTTGGAGCAGAAAAAATCAAATGATTGTTTACTCTTTTTATAGTAAGACAAAGTTGGAGAGTCAACATTGAACTTTTCATGAAAACCCCCATCATTCTTTTTAAACATTGAGGCATGATCAAAGGGTATAATGCTTCATTCAGTTAGAAAGGAGAAATAATGATAAGAATCTGAGGTGACAAATATATTAGCTTGATTCAATAGTTGCATATTATGTATACATATATCGTAGAGCTTCACTTTGACCCCATAAATACATAATCATTTGTCAATAGTCAATAAAATCTTTTAAATGTGATAACGATACTGCCAATTATCAAATTGTCAGCTTAACTCTTAAGTTTTATTTGATTTAGGATATAAACTTTTATTACTCATATAAACTGAGTGTTTAGTAAGTAGTAGACTGATTCATTTAGACTGGGGTCAGTCCTAGGAATTAACATGTTTTCAAAGCTTTCCCGTTGACTTTATTGTGCACCCAATATTGAAATTCACTGAATTAGAGATCTGTGGTTTTGTGGTGGTGATTTTTTCCAAAGACTCTGGCTTTGAGGTGGGAGCAGAAACATTAATGTCCTCTGAATTTGAGAGTGCTTTCTGCCCTTGCTCTTATTTTAGAGTGACTTCTGTTGGTACTCTGCCCAACTCTAACTTTTTAAGGATATTATGAATAATTTTAACAACACAATAAAGGATTTTTTTAAAAATTCCAATGAAAATTAAATTTTACAGATGAAAATGATTACGCCTACAGTTTATCTGCTTCCAAATCAGAATGTATTATTAGTTTTATGAGTCACCTTTATTGTATAATTCTCATTTTGACTTATATTAGTTGGCATAGTTTGGACTATAGCCACTTTTCAGAATATTGTTACATTGTTTTAATGTAAAGAAAAGGAAAATTCAATGCCTCTGTGTCTAGTAACTTATCTGGAGCATAATGAAAGTATCTGTTTTCAATAGATTATGTGTTTCTAGCTACAGTCTAGGTGTTCAGTAGAAATAATCCCATGTATTATAGTTCCTATCATAATGTTGAAAAGACTTACAGAAAAAAAATATATATATATTATAGATAAAAATTGTACCAAGCCCTATTTTATAATATCAGAATATCAAAGATACCTATTATATGGTGTGAAGTGAGTGAAAGTAACCTCAAAGCCTAAAATAAGCTTGCAACTAGCTTAGCTGCTTGAAATCCACTGGGGAAAAGGATATAGACACTGAAACATACTAAACCAAGTTCAACATCTGCCTAGTTAAATCACCTTTTTAAACTCCAGGGAAGGCACGAAACATAGCCAACAAAACTTGCCTTTATTTTATAACCCTTGGTCTCACAGATAAGGGAGAGATAATTTGGCCATAGAAGAAAAAAATAAGGAAAAAAATAATAAATGTGTAGTTGAAAATGGCCTGTAGGAGAGTAGCTGCCACATAGTAGACTCCTGATGCACATTGGTTGAATGAACGAATGAAATGAGAGAAATACACTGGCAAATAGTTTGGACTGAAGCAGAGATTTATGTATTAAATTACTTATGTGCTTTTTTTAGGATTTTTTTTTCCACCACTGATATAGTAACTGCCAACCAGGAGAAGGCCAAGGGAACTTACCATGAAAACAGATGAAGGTGTTTTGTCCTGCTTGCTTCATTCCCCATAGTCCATTATAACTCCTGTGTTCTTACAAAGGGTGACCTAAAATGCTCAAAGAAGCCTTACTTTTCAAAGCTCATCTGGATTTTGTTTGAACTTCTAAGAACTCCATCATCATTAGAAAAGTAACCTACTTAGGCTAATTTAAGAAATTTCTCTGTTGTCTTCAACTTGGCGTGCGACTACGCCGTCCCTTCCATCCCAATCCATCTTATTAATGGAATAGGTTGACAGTGTTCTAGTGCTTTTGATTAACTGCTGCTTAGAAATTTTACTTTAGATTCTTCTTTATACCCACTCAAAGATCACCCACTCACTATAAGGTTTTAAAGTGGTTCTGATATTTGATTTTATAAACAGCCTAATCGATGTTTAATTTCCATAACATAAAATTCACCCATTTAAAGGGGACAGACAGTTAGTTTCCATCAATTTAGGTGGCCACGCAACCATTGTCACAATCCATTTGGGCCATCCTTAGCCTCAGGCAACCACTGATCTGTTTTCTGTAGTTATAATTTTGTGTCCTGTTTTGTAGAGCTGTCATGTGAATGGAATCAGAATATCTCTGATACACTTATTTTTTAACTAAAAAAAAAAACTAAGTTTATCTTATTAAGATGGCCAAAGACCAACTAAATTAAGTGGACCTTGTATTTCACTATAAATGATGAAGGAGTAATTAGAATTTTCTTATTTGGGTGTGAAGACTAATTTATTGTGGGTTTCATTTACTTTACTGAATTGCAACTTCTTTTCTTTCTGCTAGATATCTTGTTCAGTTTTGAGCTATGCTTTACCTGTTACCTCTTCAAAATATATGGGTTAACATTCTTTCCAACTTCAGGCTTTTCTCTAAAATCTATGTTATTATGACACATTTTTCCAGAACAACAAGTACTTATGTGTGTGTAAAGGCAAAGAAAAGAGAGACTTCCAAAATTTGTGGATAGATGAATGGATATATGATGAATTTATGACTTCATATATTTAGGCTTCAGGAAGTTTGTTTAAAGCATTAGTTCTCAGGGTGTAGAGAACTAATAAATGGCATATATGTTTGGATTAGAATTTCATTTCTTGTGTGTTTTCATTTCACAGAAGAAATATGAAACATGTTCTAGCAAGGAATAAAGCATTACAGTGGACCAAATCCTACATTTTGCCAGAGTTTCCCTATGATGTCAAATGCATGTTAGCAGAGCAGAAATGTCCAGATCACAGCATGAGGATAAGGATCATTGAGTTTCTCCAGGCCGACATGACTAAGTATCTGGAAGGCTCACTGTAAGTGATAACAGGGAAAACTTGCTGGTTTGGGGGAGGGTCTGCCTTGGAGTAGTGTAGAACTCAATTGCAATGAGGTCTCTTCAGATTTTGAGTGACATACAGCATCTAAGTCTAACATGCCAACAATTGAGTGTCTATTTTGTTCTATAGAAAGATTTGAAGAGGAGTCAGTGCAATTTAGACTCCTCTTGAATATGGACTGCTAGAAATGAAAGCTATCTCCCTGTTATGAACAGGTATCCCACCACACAGCAATACAATGATGTGGTCAACGCCCTGCTGCACGCCCACCCCTTCCTGGACGAGGATGGCTGTGGCTTTGTAAGTAATGACATGGCACCACCAACCTGTTCATCTGAGTCCATCTTAAGATAATAGCCTGTATTGTCCACTTAGCTTCTGATATTCTTCCCCCTTTGGTTCTCTCTCTTTCTGACTGTCCCTACTTCTTTCTTTCTTTTATTCTCTTCCTCCTCTCCTCTGTTACCTCCCTGTGATAACTTCTCTGTCTCTGTCTCACCTGTGTTCCTTTGTCTGCCCTTCATCATCTTTCTGTCCTGCTCTTAAAGCAGTCTGGGAGCTCCTATGTGACCCTCTAGGAAGGAGAGGAGATGACATGTGTCGTGGCTGTCATCAACCAATTGTCTCTTGCCCTCTGATTAGAGCCAGTGGGGAAGTTGTCTGCTTGGAGGTCTTGCTTGCCTATCTCACCTGCCCTTTCACAACTCGAGTGTCTTGACACCCCAAGATATATGGGCAGCAGTTCTAAACTCTGACTGCACCTCAGGAGACCCAGAGATTTTTGATTTAATGGCTCTGAGGATGTCGCCCTGACATGAGTAATTTTTAAAGTCCCCCAAATTATTCTAATGTATATCCAGGGTTGAGAACAGCTGCTCAGTACAAATCCAACTGTCTGGATCTGCCTATTTCTTGAATTTGAAAGACTGGGATCTATCTTTGTTGTACAACAGTATAAAAATACTTAGTCCTAGTGGACTATACACTTAAAAATATTTAGACTATAATAAAAGGTTGAGTGTTTATGATATGCACTAGCGGTATATGATTTAATAAACAATCATAGGGAAATACAGTTCTGCGTACATAAAAACCTACTACTATCCCTGTATTTCTATATGACATGTGTATATACAGTGGTAATCATAGCTAAGTAAGATATATGTCTTCCTGTATCTTACCATGTCTGGGTTGTCAGAAAGTACTTTTTTGTTGTTGTTGTTGTTGTGCTTTCTTAAAGACATAGGGTAGGGTTTAAGCAATTAGTTTCAAATTGAACAAAAAAGATACATGCCAACATCATTTAAGGCCTTTGCTTGCTTGCTTGAATGTTTACTTTTCTTTCTCTCTCTACCCCCCTTCCTTCCTCTACTCCCTCCATCTCTTTCTTCCTTCCTTTCATTTCATATTTTCAGAATGTGTTTCATTATAAATGAATAAAAATCATAGATTTTCTGGAATGAGAAAAGATCTTAAACATATTTTACTAGCCATCTAGAAACTGTAAAATTGTAAAGCCAAGACTAGAATTCAGGAATCCTTGCTTCTAGGATGCCATCTTTTCTAAAATATGCTTCTACCTATAAAACACACTATAAAGTTACCAAAGTTTCTCTAAAATAAAAAAATATATATAATGCATCAAAACCTGGGGTCTCAACATTGTAGTCATTGCAATATGGTTGACAAAATCAAATCTCAGCATTCCTTTGACATTCAAGATACAGGAACTATATCTTGAATTAGTATCGATATCAGTACTACTGTGTATAGAAATACAGTCAGCCCCCCACGTTCAGATTTCACCTCCTGGGATTCAACAAACCTTGAATACTGTGCTTTGTAATTAGGCTTATGATGGTTGTATCTGTACTGAACAGGTACAAACTTTTTCTCTTGTCATTATTCCCTGAACAATACAATAAAACAATTGTTTACGTGGCAATTATAGTGGAACAGGTATTACAAGTAATGCAGAGATGATTTAAAGTAGTGGAGGATGTGTGTAGATTATATGCAAATACTTATGTCATTTTATATGAGACTTGATTACCTATAGATTTTGGTGTCTGCCACAGGCTACTGAACCAATCTTCTGTGGATACCAAGAGATGACTATGGTTGAATTTTTAAAATAATTTAAATTTTCTATTTGAATAAATTATACATTTACCTAGTTCAAAATTCAAAAGTTTCAAAAAGATAGAATAGTCCCTACCCCAGTTTTCCAGCCACTTAGCTATCCTATCCAGAAGGAACCAATGTTATTAAAGATTCCTTCCAGAGAATCTTTGCACATATATAAACAAATCCATATCTCTCCAATTACATTTTGACCTTTACTTTTATGGTTATCAAAGTGAGACATGCACAGAGTAATAAACAGTGCTTACTTTGCTCTGAAGTGCATTTTACCCACGTCTGTTCCCAGTGGCATTAACTAAAGATGGTTAACTGAGAAAGAGACAAGGAAAATTGCTTAGCAGGTTGTGGCCACTATTTTCACACTTAGAAGTATAGAAATACAGAAGTGGATACTGGTATATGGATGGGTGCTTACTCAAATTCTCCCCACAAGTGTTACATTGCAAAGTATAGAAAAATTTTAAGAACGTTTGTGTGGAGGGGGTGGAGAGAAAGTAGGCACTTGATTACTTTTAGGGCTAATTTTATTTTCAACTTTTCATTTTGAAAAATTTCATATCTGCACATAATTAGAATGCTGTGGTGATACCATATATCCTTCAACTAAATCAAGGTTTCTCAGCCTTCACACTATTAATGCTTAGTGCTGGATAATTTTTGTGGTGGGAGTTGTCGTCTGGCCCTGTGCATTTTAGCATATTTAATGGCATCCCTGGGCTCAATCCATAGTACTGGGAGAAAAAAAATAAGAAAAACTGATCTCGGTTCATTAGCTATTAACATTTTGCCACACTTTCGATTCTTCTCTCATGTTTGTTTTAGATGAACATTTAAAAGCAAGTTACAGATGTGATTTCTAAATACTTTAGTGTATATCTTAAAAGTATAAGAACAATTCTCTACATAACCACTATGCAATTTGCATCCAAGAAAATTAAAATAATTGTGTAATATCACATGTAATCTGTATTGCTATTTCTCTAATTATTCAAAAATATTTTTTAAAGTAGATTATTTTTTTGCTATAAAACCTAATCATGGATTATGCATTGCATATGGCTATTATACTTATTTAATTTTGCCTAGGACAGTCTTTCTAACCATTTTTGTCTTTACTGACATTTACTTTTTGGTCAAATGTAGTTCACTTGTTGTGTCAGATGGTCTACATTCTGTGTTTGTCCAAATGTTTTCTAATGATTATATTTTGGATTTAAAATATTGAACAAAGATCTGCTTTGATGTTGTGGTCTACTTCATGTGTCACAACAGGCCCATAATTTCAGGACTTCTTTTTTAAAAAAAATTTCAGAGTGATTAGGAGAACTGTATCAATGTAGAACTTTCATGTCTTCTAGTTGGAAAAGTGTAGAGAAAAGGGATGATTATGCTATACCACAAATATTTTCTACTGAATCTCTCCACCAAAGGTATCTATGCTCAGTAAATATCATTGATTGAATACTCATTAATTGTACTCAGTTGGTTCTTTTTCTCTTCTTACCAATTAATAAGGAGAGATGGGAGAATCTAAGAAAAAGAATCTGGCAATTCAACAATGTCCTAGCAGTTGATTGCAATAATAACTTCTGCCAGGTTTAGCAGGTGTAGAGGCCCTTCAGAACTGTAGGAAGTATGAGAAACAAATGTATTTGTTCTAGTTTATATTTCAGGGCTAAGAAAAATATAAGCCTTCTATTATTTCTCTGCTATTGTATGTCAGCCACAGCAGAGACCACAGGCCTGTGAGAGGTAATAAACATCTCTGATGCACATGTGCCCAGGAACCCAATCTGCACTGAAGCCAGCCCCAACTTCAGCCTGCAGCTCTCCTGGCCAGTCTATCCCAGGGTTTTATGATCAGCAGTTTATAAATACCTTCAATGAGTAGCTATACACTTGATTCTCTTAAAACCCCAGTACAGGGGCTGGGGGTGTGGCTCAGTGGTAGAGCATTTGCCTAGCACATGTGAGGCACTGGGTTCAATCCTCAGCACTAAATAAATAAATAATAAATATATTGTGTCCATCTACAACTAAAAATGTTTTTTAAAAACCCAGTACAGTTGAGGACAGCTCTTATTGTTCCATTTTATAGTCAAAGAACAAAAGCTACAGGGGTTTAATTGTTGAAGGTCATTTGTATTAGAGCTAATACTCAATCCTGGGTCTTCCCAACATAGGTCACAGTGCTTTCTGAAGGGCAGAGAAGACTCTTATTGGAACTTGAGCCATAAAACCAGGAATGGCAAGATCCAAAAGCCAAACACTTGTCTAATGTTATCTCAGTGACATCCCCATTTGCTCCTAAGGAAATAGTTTTTTCTCTGATTCTATTTCCTTAGCTATAATTAAAGGATTATAATTTGTATTGCAATGTCACAAGACTATTGTTAGGATAAATCAAAGAATAGGTACATCACTTCTTTTACTGTGATATAAAAATAATTTCAAGCTCAAGAATCACAGGCGAATATTTTATTGTTTATATGGAATTATTCTAAGCTCCTAGGATTAACTGGCTTGCTTTGTTATTTTATGCAGTTTTTATGGAAACGAGCCCTCAAAGATCGTTTTAAATATGTCCGAAGACCCATAGAAGATGATGAACAAGTAATAAAAAATAAGTGCAAATTTGGACACCGAAGAGGCCAGACAAGGAAATCTCTTGCTGATATAAGATTTGATGAAATTAAAATTGTCCAGATAAAAGTAAGATTGAATCCTTAAATGTTCTGACAACTTTGACTCATTGGTTGATTAAGGAATAATAAGAAGAAATTAGCATTTAAAATCATTGCAGCAAAATTAGAGAACTTTTAAAATTTGAGGTGTAGTCAGGAACCTATTAAAAACAATGGTTTGTGTGGTTAAGAATGTAAGTCATATTTCTAAAAGAGAAGTGTCAAAAACAGTTTTTAGCAAGAATACTATTGAAGATCTCATAGTCCTTTTGTTACAGCCTTCAAAGAATATGAACTAGCCCGTGAGTTCTGGGACCTGAAATGATTTCCCACCCTATCCTTCTGTAACACACTGCATCTTCTTGACAACCTTACTGCATCAGCAAGTTTTAATACTCAAGCATTGTAGAGGTCAGGTGGTCTTGAGTCTCAGGATCTAGGGAGGCAATGGGTCACATGCGTTGGCACAGAAATTCATGCTGGCCTTCCCCTTCCTGCTGGTCCAGAATCTTCTCTTTTGTTGATACATCCATCATCTTTGAACCAGTTTTTACACTCTGTTCCTTCTTAAAACACCCAAGGAGCTGTAGACTTTCTAGTTTGCCCCTTCTAGTCCTCCAGATGAGCCTAAATCCTAGGATGAATCCTGCTGAGACCCATGTAGGGGTCTTTGCTTCAAAAAGAACAAGGAATTGAATATATCAGGGTTAGATGTTAAGTTGCAATAGAATTTAGTTTGTACCTTCCTGTCCGCTGAGCTAAAAATAGCAATTAGCCTTTTTTTCAGATCTAGAGAGACAACATTTTTCCTGGCAAACAAATACAATTGGAAGGATTTACTTTCCCTCCTTTAAAAATGGAGCTGCAAATTGCTGATTCTTTCATGCTGTAGCCTGTTTATGATCTCATGTTCTACAAAGCCAAAAACATTAAAGGATGGAAAATAATCTATACTGAAATATTACAGAAACCATGTATTTTGTACCCTCCCTGGTGATTAAAGCAAATTTATAAGCACCGAGAATAGTGGGAGTGAGAGACTCCCATACTTTGAATTTACCTCACGGAATTGTATTTTCTGGTACTAGGAATGGAACCTAGAGCCTTGGGCATATTAGGCAAGTACTCCATCACTAAGTCACATCTCCAACCTTTTTTTATTTTGAGACAGGATCTCCTTAAATTACTCAGGCTGGCCGCCAGCTTGTAATTTTCCTGCCTCGGCCTCCCAAGTAGGGGAAGGATTGGCCTGAGGCAAGGTGCCTGGTTTACTCATGGAATTCTATCCTTCAGTCTGATTGCTTAAATTTCTTTCAATCTCCATTTTGACCTTCTTCTGATAGCTCCTTTTTAATGTCTGAAGATTTCTGAAGATAAAAGTTTGTTTAGATTAAGACATCCTTGGGCAACTCTTACATCTTTTAAAATTCCTTGTCTGTGCACAATTTTTCCATAGGAAAAAAATTTCATGTGCTACAGAGATGAAAAATGTTGACGCAACCAGGAAGTAGTGGTCTGTGTGTCCGTGCCTTCAAAGGCAGGGAAGTGGGTTGGGCTAGCTGGAAGATCTTGAGAAGGGATATGGAAGGAAAAGAGATCTTAATTAGTTTTTGTTGTGGTGGTGGTAGATGTTCTATTTCTGCTATTGTTTGCCCTTTTGGTGGGAGGATGAAAGAAAATAGATGTCACAATGAAGAAAGGTAGGGATTTTAATTTTGTGATGTGGGCTTCCATAGATAACCCAAAATATTGCAGTACTTGTCTGGCTCTGAGCCCCACTTTTTTTTTTTTTGTCCCCAACCCTCTACCTTCCAGAATCTCTTGTGAGTTTAGCTCTGCTTTTTATTTGGCTACAAAGCCCAGATCATCTGAAATGCCAGAGCAACATCTGTGAGTCATTGTGGCTGGTTCCTCTTATCCCACTGCTAAAAACAATTTCACAATATTACACAGGTGGCTAGACTTGTCATAGTCCCACAAAATGCTGGTTATTTTTCAGTGCTTAAAAATGCCTTTCTAAACTTGGTGCAGAGGTGCACACCCGTAATCCTAGTTACTCTGGAGGCTAAAGGGGGATAGCAAGTTTGAGGCCAGCTTCAGAAACTTATTGGGACCATGTCCCAGAATTAAAAATAAAAGAATCTGAGAATATAGCTCAGTGGCAGAAAATCCCTGGGTACAATCCTCAGTAACCATGCCCCCAACACTCATGCACATGCAGAGCCTTTCCATTCCCAGACCCCTGTTGCTGCTCGTATGCTTGTGCAATCAGTGCAGAACTGTACCATCCCTTCTTATGCATTGACTTTTAGTGTAAAAGGAAACAAACTGAAACACACACACACACACACACACACACACACACACACACACACATAGCACAGAGCAATGAAAATATTCCATGAGTGAGTAAACAGGTACAAATGAATTAGGTCCAAATAATATGTAGCCCTGTGAATTGATAAATTTGTTTTCTTTTCTAAATTGCCTTTTATTATCCACATCTTTGTATATTTATAAAGAGATATAGTTCAGTTCTCAAAACAATAGATCTAATTTCAGTAATTTTGTAAGCTGATGACATTATCTTGTTTAAATGATGAAAACATTGATTTCAAAACCTTACAGGAATTGTGTGGAGCTGATCAGCAATATACTAGATTCCTTTATATAGTAGTAAATTTTGTAAGACATCTCAGGTTAATTAAAGTTAAGTGAATCAAACTCCTCACTTCATGGCACATTATCACTGTCCTCTGTTAGGATTTTCTCTTGCTTTATCTATTCATTTTTATCCCCATTCTTATCTGCCTTCCGCCCGCTCCACCTCTGCTGTGAACAACCATTCTAAACATTTCATATGTGTCTGGTTCTTTGCCAGTGCTCTAAAAGATGTACTGTCACTTGGGTTTGTATACATTTGATTTAATGTGAATGGTATCCTATCACTTATCTATTTCACTTTTTTAAAAACCAATACTCTATCTAAGATTCACTCATGTTCTATAAGTCTCCAGTTCATTGATTCTAAGCAATTTGAAGTACTCCTGGTATCAAGTTCTGTTCCTCCCCAGTACAAACTACACACCAGAGAATACCATTATATTTATCTGGTTATGGAGCGATGAGTTATCAATTTGGACTATACATCCAGAAATAAACTGATAGGACACAAGGTGTGCATGGACTTAATGTGACCAGTTACCCTCCAGAATGCCTTCACTAGATTCACTCCCACAGCAGCACAAACCCCTATATTTCCACAAACCCTTGGCATTTTCTGACCTACAAAATTTTGTCAAGACTAATAGGTATAAAGTATAATCTCATTCTTGTGGTTTGCATTTCCCTGGATAACTAATGAACCAGCATTTCTTCACATATGTGTTAGCCTTTTGAATTTGCCATAGAAAATTATCTCTTTAAGTCTATTGCCCACTTTCTAATGGGTTGGCATCTTTTTCTTGTTAATACGAGAAGAAGGAAGCAGTCTTTATAGGAAGCAGTCTTTCCCATGCCCTAAGCCACAAGGATGTTCTCCTACTCTAAGAGTATGTACTAAAATTCCCATGTTCAGATAGTTAATTCATCTGGAATCTATCTTTATATTAAATAGGGATCTCTACATAGTGAACTGCTTTCTGTACACCAATGATTAAACAATCCATCATTTTCTCATTGGTTTATGGTATCCCTTTATTATTTATTAATAGAGCTGGGTGTGTCCTGGCAATTCTCTTATTCCGTGGGTCTGTCAGTCTCTTCTTATGCCACTCCACTTTGCATTTTACTCTTTTATGTTTATTACTTAGTATCACTCAGGGTGGTCTGGATTATCATGCAGGGCATGCTGCATCAGGGTAGCCCGTCAGTGGAGAGCATTCTGGGTAGGCCATTCTCATTTTCAGAATAAGGGGAAAGACAAAGGGCTATCTTCTCATGAACAAGTACCCAGGACTTCTTTGTAGTATCTTTCTTCTTACAGAAGAAATAGCCCGGGCTAGGGGTGCTACACACAGGTGGACCAAAAGAAGGTTTTGAGCATCTGCCAGTGTGAGAAGCAGCAGGACATGTTCTGTCTTACTCTTGTGGAGGATTGGCTGTGATGAGATGGAGAGGGCCTGATGGAAGGATTCCACTCCTTTTGTCCTGACTCTGGAATAAGAGATGTCCCCCTAGGACGGTGATTTCTGATATGCATGGGGCACCAGAACTTGGAGTGTGAACATTATTCTCAGCTTGATGCTCCTCATTTCTTGGTCTTGGTTCCTCCTTCACCCAGTGGATTCATTTAACCTTTCTCTCAGGTCTTTACCAAATGCCACATTGAAGCATAAACGTGTAGACATACTTTTTGAAATGTTTCAATTCTTCCTTAATATCTTTTTTTTTTGACTAATGTATGCATGTTCTTTTCTTAGTCACAAAAATCCCTTTCAGCCAGTAGCACTCTCAATCTATTATCATAAACTTTTTTGTTCTCGGGAAATAAGTTGAATTTGACAATAGCCAGAGGTCTTTCCAAAATCCCCTAAAACACAATGGATTTTATTTTTTAGATACCCAGCTCTTCAAATTCATGGTTGAGCTGTTCATCTCTTTTGAAAATATTCTGTCTGTATGGGGTAAATTCACTCTAAATTGGATGCTTGGTGAAAAATGTGTTTCTGAGCAGTACAGGAAGGACTTTGAAGTTTCAGTTACAGATTTGCTTCTTTTTTTCTATGTTATCTTTCTTTCCTTTTTTATTTTTTCAGTGTTAGAAATTAAACCTAGGGCCTTGTGCTTGCTAGGCAAATGCTCTACTACTGGGCCCTACTTCCAGCCCCTTCTGTTTTTTTTTTTTTCTTTCTAACTCTGTGGAATTGTCTCAGTTTGGAGGCATTTAATTGTTATCTTGTTGGTTTATGACCAATTATTTGCTGATGATGTTTAGAAAGTACATTTCCCAAATCTTACAGACAGGACCTTTATTTACATAGGTTATTTTATCTTTGTTAGTTTAATGTACATTTGATTTCTTTTTAA